ACATTTCTAAAGAATGCTTTCAGCACCTTGTTGAATCAATGCCACGTAGAATTAAGGCAGTTCTGAAGGCGAAAGGGGGTCAAACACTGTATTAGTATGGTGTTCCTAATAATCCTTTAGGTGAGTGTATATAATACCTATTTGTAACATTGTTATTATTATTATTGATGTTATTGTTATAATTTTTGTTGTTTGATGTCCTTGTATTCTGTATTCCCCTACACTTAATTTTCTCCATCCCACTTACATCATTATTATTATTATTATTTCTGTATACCATTGTTTTCTTTCTTTTTTTTTCTCCCCCTCTCCCCAAGGTGATTAATGTCTGTTATTGTTACGATTGTTGTTTCTGTATCCTCCCCCACCCCCTTTTTTTTATAGTCACTGTACTAGGACAGGTGAGTTCGGAGCAGCCACACTCTTTACTCTTTAATTTAATGTAAAATAAAGTTGTCCTCCGAGGAGGGGTGGTGGTGGTGGTGGGCAATAGAAAAAAAAAAAGTCACCAATTCAAACCCAGCCTCAGCACGTCTTCGGCTCCTTGAGCAAGGCCCTTAACCCCCAGCTCCCTGGGCGCCCCAATAGGTGGCTGCCCTTCGCGGACAACTTACACTTCAAAGAGCAAGTTGAGGGAGGCGTAAAGACAATTTCCCCACAGGGATCAATAAAAGTATCAATTATTTATTTATTATATATTCAGTTGTATAGTATAGGCAGTGTTGGAATTTGTAGAATTATTATTTGCTCACGGGCTACATAACCCAAAATGCATTTTTTGGGACTTATTGCATAATTGTTCTTATTTGCATTCACAGCATTAATACACGTGTGTGTGTGGCGCCCCAGTGCGGTTGACTACTTGAACTAACTTCATTGAAGGGGTGAAAAGATAAATATATAGTCGAAGTGCCGTCTGAACATACTCATCGAGAAAATGACAGCGTGAGTTGGACATGTTTGAACTGATTCAAGAGCTTATCTGTTTGGATCTTCTCATAGATCAGCGGATTAATTCACGTATTTTGCCATTCACCTTGCATTCGCTATTCCTGGTCAGGGTCACGGGGGCCTGGAGTCTGTTACGGGCAGCATAGGGGAACAAGGCTGAAATACACCCCGGATGGTTTGTCTGTCCATTGCTGGACACATAGCCATATGATAGTGTGCTCGTGTACGTTCTGTACATTCTCACCTCACGCCTCCAGGGCTAGGAATCTGACTTCTGCTCCCGCCCTGCGAGTGTGAAGTTCCTGTGGGTACTCGAGTTTCCTCCGGCAGTCCAACGACATGTGTTTAGCTAACCGGTGTTTCTAAATTGCCCACAGTGACTTAATGTGTGTGTTTGTGAGGGTCCGCGATGGATTTGCATTCCTTTGTGCCTGGTGCCTTGTACTGCAAGTTTCCCGGAAACCTGATCAGGAAAAGTAACTGGAGAGTGGCTGGATGGATACATGTTTAATCGTAACTCCATGAAAAGTATGATTTCACTGTCTTGCTGCAATATATCCTTTTATTTAACTTCTTAGGTTACACTGGGATTAAACGAGGGTATAAATATATAGCAGCTAGATATCTGATTTCATTAATAGAGACGCTAAAATGTAATTAAAAATATATAAGAATACATTTTACGTCGTCTAACTGGAACACTAGCTGCAGATATTTGCAAGTATTTTTTCAGCTTGACTTTCCAATTTACCCATTACAGGACTGCGATGAATCGAAAGCCAGTCTTAATAATCACAAAGCACGAGGCAGGGGAACACCCTATACGGAATGCCAGTCCGTCAGTGATTCTTTGTATTCTCCAAACAGCGTTTCAGTTAAACTCTAATAAGCCACGTTGTCAATGTAATGCACCGAAAATCACCGGGTACAACAATCGCAAAGCACAAGCATGCTTTGTGAGTTTAGCATTTCTGCTTTTAGCTTAGAAGTTGCATCATGCAGTACCCCCCTTTCCATCACACGCATCTTTATAAATGTGTAATGGGAGATATTGAATTGTACACGTTCATACCCCGTTCATCAAAATATGCTATAATATGTAACAATTTAGACTCATTTGGTGCATTGCCTTAAATGTACTTAATTACCTACATAATGAATCGGAAAAAGGAAATGTGTCCATGATAATCAGCACGCTTACTTGGAAATAATGTGCAACCTAAGTTACAGCAACATCTCAGCTCGAAAATCCAATCGACAAAATAAAATGAAATAAAACAAAAATTTATGTAGTTGAGCACCTTATCAGGCCTATAATTGCATGGCAATCCCGACACATGGGTAAGACACCTGGTTAGTTGCTGCCGCTATTATGAAATAGCCGTTTGAATTTCTGTATCATCCTCTTACACAGAAATCCAGATTAGTTTATAAGGTGAGACCGGTTTTGCAACTGACAGTCATGTCTGTGAAACCAGATCGCGACGTAAAGGTCTCCGGTAACATTTTCACGGGATAAGCTGCACAGAGGATCTGTGTTGTATATAAAGTTTATTGGAGTAGCGGCTATCCTGCGGCTGAGCCATTCAGCAACGGAGGTCTGTCGTCATCCTTTTAAGCTTACAAATATCAGTTAAATGTTTTATTTAATTTTAAATTGTTCGTTTAAACTACCGCCTTCCTCTCCCGCATAGATTATTTTCGATAAAAACTCAGCAAGTATTTCGGCAATATGGTGAAATTATAGTGTACTATAGTTATTAATGTTAAGATTTACATTAGAAATCTATTTTGCTTTAATCCTTTATTAATCTACATTGATTAAAATACCGGACCGAGGGAAAATTTAACGTCTAAATACATAAACATTAGTTCATATCAACAACATACTAGTCTAAACACGATCGTACAAGGCACCCCGCACGGGATACCAGTTTATCGCAGGACATGCAAATACAACCACAATTACGAGCCTGTTCCTCTAACTATATTTTTGAAGACTGTGGATACATCCGCGCAAATGCAGGGGCGAGGTGTGAATCGCCAGCAGTGAGATTCGAGGCCATGCCTGGTAATACCCACTGAGCCACCGTACGTGCCATCCTATAGCGTGGACGCTTAAAATATCATGAATTACTGCAGTGTTTAATCAGGTAGTATTATTATGGTTTATTTTACACATATACATGTCTAAAAATCTGATGTAACTCAAACTACACATTCCGGGGACGATTAAGGCTCATCAAGGCAATTAGGGAATCGTATTAAGTAATAAAATGACCAGCCAAATTTAGTTTCAGAGAAAAATGTCTGCATACGCGTATTAGTAAACAACCGGAGAACATTGCGGAATAGTGATTTAAGTCATATAAACTGGCTGAACCCAATGTGGACCGCTTACACTTGTCACATGACTGCATTTCCCGGCGCTCTACAGCACGCAAGCGCAGATCGTGTCGCTCTGCTGTGGTAAACAGACGTCAGAAGGGAGTCTTCGCGTCGAGTCAAAACAAAACAAAAAAAACTGAGAGGAATGAAAATTTTGCTATACACTCAGGCAGTGTAACGACACTGAGTACTGAAAAGGACAGTCGTCGAAAAGAAGAGATACGAGAGTATCATTTGACAACTTCTTGGATATTAACTCCAAAATAGCTGGCGCCGGCTAACGTTAGCAAGCTAACAATTTGTCACGTTGAAAGAGACGCGTTTTAGTTTTGCGTGAGAGCCCGTGAACTGAATGAGAAGTGTCGGAGAGCAGTGGCGTGTCCTCCTGGCGTGAGATATTCACTGGATGGGACTGAAAATACGGTTGGAAGACTAGAGGAGCGCATAGGAAGGCGCTTCTTTGCGACCTGTGCCAGCGCGAGTGACCATCGCGTCTCCAGAAACATGGCAGGCTGTGGCACGCGCCAGCGCGCGGCGTAGAGCGGCGTGCGGTCCCGAACCCAAACAAGGATTTGCTTATTTCCTTGTCTGTTATGACCGGCATGAACAAACTGTCCAGGATGATTCTGATTTCACCGCTGCTACTGGACGATTGAGTGAATGTCAGTTTTATAGTTCGCAATTCCTAAATGTATGTTTATGTAGCCACCTTAAAATAATTTCGCTGGTTATTACAGTACATTTCATTGGACGGAGTTGGGTGAGCGAACCGAATAAATTTATGGAAATTATTAACGCTTGGGGAACCATTGTACCCAACGTTTACATTTCTTAGCTAGTTTATTATACTTAGCTACGAGTTTTATTATAACGCTTTTATTCCAACAAGTTTTTGAAGTTAATCCACGAGTGGCAGACGCATGGGCTAATTGGACAACACCGGATAAATTGAACGTAGCAATTTCTTTTCATTTTTTAATCAACATCGTTTTCGTATCCATTTAGGTGATAGTTATTCCCTGTTTGCGGAATGTACGAAACTTGTTTACATCGGAGCAAAGACTGAAGGCCGTCGTTCGCGTCCCTCCTTTGTAATAATCATTTATTCTGGTCCGTGTTTCTGTCGTACTATGTGCTCTATAGTACATGAACACTGGTTATAAGCTATTTTTTGTATCTTGATATTTCGACGGTCGCAAAAACTTGACGTTGAGAAGTTAATTTCATCCAAATGTAATACATTCTATTATGTTTGAGGGATTGCTCTAAGTGTTTTATGTAAAGTTTCTTTATTTTGTAAGTCTTTTTGCAGAAATAGAAATGCGTAACCCATTATTATAGTTAAAGGATTTTCTGCTGTCTGAGCGTTTTTTCGTACTGTTAATTACGCCTGCTCTGCTGGGGGCTGTCCAGATGTTTTGATGTGCATTCCTCCTCGAATTTCCTTTGTTCTTTTTAGATAAACAAAATAACCCCAGTTCCAGGCGCGTTTTAAACTGTAAATCTGGAGGTTTTAGCTGGGTACTATTAAGGAGATTATTTGGTCCTTTTAATCTTCAATCTGAGGATTACCCGACGCTATATTGGTGTGTCCAGATTATTGTGATTCTTTTCTGACCGCCACTAGCCTATTATTAGTATCTAGAGCACCGGACCGCGGCGTTCGAATAATGGACTTGACTTTTAACTGCAATTAAGACGGAACGATGCGTTATGGCCGTTTACCAGATGGCAGTTATCCTAGATATCGCCTGAGGGGAATGTACCGGCTTATAAGCATGTTTTGAAACACTACCAAACAGAAATCGCAAGTGATTGTGAGGGCTAAAATAATTTATGCGTTTTGAACGCTACTTTTGTCATTGGATGGTTTTTAAGTTTAATTAATAAATATATAACGTTTTGTTGGAAACGTAAAACGAAATATTTTACTTTTGCTGAAGAAACTTATCAAAGAATCAAAGAGAAGTTGAAGATGGAAGAAGAAAAGGCACCCCCTATAGACCCGGACTTTGCTCCTCAGACCCGACCGAGGTCTTGCACATGGCCGCTGCCTAGACCCGATATTTCGACTGTCAAACAGGAGGGGGCGGACAGTACGGACTCGACTGGTACTCCACCAGCAGAAGAAGATAAACAGGAACCTCCGCCAATCACATCAGAGCCTGAGAAAGCTGCCGTTTCAGAGGGCGGGGCTTCTGCTGGTGTGGGCGGGGCCACTCCGCGAAAGGGATCCTCCCGGCGAAATGCCTGGGGGAACCAGTCCTATGCAGACTTAATCAGTCAGGCCATTGAGAACTCACCTGAGAAGCGCCTCACTTTGGCACAAATATATGACTGGATGGTCAAAACTGTGCCCTACTTCAAAGATAAAGGGGACAGCAACAGTTCAGCCGGGTGGAAGGTAAATGGCATGCTTATTGTGTTGCAATTGAACAATTTGGAAATATTACTACAGTATGCAAACCCGAATTATTTATTTATTTTTTATCTTACTGCTTGTAATATGCTGGCAGATTAAATGCTAAAGTAATCTTAAGTAAAAAAGGGTAGAGCAGCACTGGATCTTGAAGCCATGGGATTTTGATGAAGCATTTGGTTCATTTACTGTCACATTACCTGCTGCATTCCGTCTGCTTTGTTCTTTTCTCATCTGTGTTGTAATCCCTGTCATTACACTGACTTTACCTTATTTGCTGTGTGGCACGTCTAGCATGTGAAGCTTTTAGAATAACTTAGGGTTTCACTGTCTTCCTGTCTATAGTTACACTTTATTACTGTCAGGTATGGGTGATTATGATCCTCTGTCTTCTTTAACATAATAATAATGGCTTTTTGTTAGCAGTACTATTGTTGTAATAGTTTTTTCTTAGCTTTTCATTTTGTACAGTTTAATACTTACTAAAGGAAGGACTTCCCTTGAGGGTAAAGTAATCATTCCCTTCTAGTATTTCAGATGTAGGCTTCTCAGTCACAGTTCTGGGTCCTTTTGCAGCCATTATTTGAAGCTGTGTTTTTGCATGAAACCTGTTGTAAAGTACGGTATTCGGAAAGTAGTTAGCGTGACTTTTCTGTAGTCCCTGCCTTGCACTCAGTCGTGTGACATCATAGCAAGTTAATCAGTCTTTGTTTCTCAGGTATTTTTGTGTGATGAATTACGCCTTTTTCAGGAAAATATTTTTTGCTACGAAGCTTTCCCCATGGCAGATTTACGTCAAACCTATACATTTTTTTTAATGACTTTTGTTAGCCGATGAGGTCATTATGGGGAAGATAGTGAGAATTAGACTTGGTAACTTAATAATGAGATGGGAAGACCATGTTGCACTTACAATAAAATAGTCTTTTCTGGAATCTTAAAGTTCACAATATTTTCATTATTGACTGAGGCTATATTGATCAGGTCAGTTGTACATTTGACCTTAAACCTCTTTTCTGGACAAAGGCAAGTGGGTGTGAGTAAAATTAAAGTTGTTTTTCTGGCTCTGATGAATGACAGAGTGTGGACCACTTACATTAAAACATTGGTCAGATATACATCCATTAATAAGGACAGAAATTGAGAATTCATCATTCCTTTAATTTCTCAATCAAATGGAGTACCTCTCCGATCTGCATAGCACCCTCGTCACCCCCAATATCTGTGTCGATCTCATAGCTTTCTAAATTGAATCACCTGTTTTGGTCCTGGAAATGAATCATTTGTCCCTTGTCTGTAAGGCTTTGTGCGCATCCACAAGTGGAGCAGTTACAGTGTTTGTTTTTTTGCTCCCTCCTCCTTTACCAACCACAGAACTCCATTCGTCACAACCTGTCCCTCCACAACAAGTTCCTGCGGGTGCACAACGAGTCGACTGGAAAGAGCTCATGGTGGATGCTGAACCCCGAGGGGGGAAAGACCGGGAAGGCCCCCCGCCGGCGTGCCGCTTCTATGGACAACAGCAAACTGCTAAAGAGTCGCATGCGTGCCAAGCAGACGAAGAAGCAGGCAGGGGCGGCGGGGGGTCCTGGAATGGGTGGTGGAGCCCTGCCAGGCGAAGGGGGTGCAGGGCCAGGAGGGGCAGACAGCCCTGGATCCTCCCAGCCATATCCCAAGTGGGGGGTAAACAGCAGTAGCCCCTCATCACGTGGCAGCCTGGATGATCCAGATATGTGGACCAGCTTTCGGCCACGGAGCAGCTCCAACGCCAGCACGCTGAGCGGCCGTCTGTCACCCATTGCCCCAGGCAAGGAGGACGAGGACGACCTTCCGGAAGATGGACTTCTGGGGGGCTATTCTGCAGGCAGTGTGCCCTCCACCCTCACAGAGACCCTCCTGGAGGAGCTGGACCTGATCGATGGGTTAACACTGATGACTGCACAGCAGGGCGGGGCCAGCCCCAGCACAGCGCCCCCAGCACCACCCACCCCGCTGCCCTCTGCCACCACCTTGCTAGCCCGTAGTCCTGGCTTTAGTACCTACCGGCCCTTGCAGACCTCCCAAGCTCCCCAGGTCAGTGCAGCCTCCCCTCAGGGTGGGGCACAGGTGCCTGTCCAGCAAGCACCTCCCTCCAAATCCACTCCTGCCACCTCCAACTTTGGCAATTCCCTGTTCAACCCAATGCCAAGCCCAGGGACTCAAGCCGGCCACTTTGGTGTGCATGTGCCCTCGAGCCTGGAGGCTCTGCTGACTTCTGACTCCCCACCGCCAAGCGACGTCATGATGACCCAGGTGGACCCGCTGATGCCGGGCCAGGGCGGGGCTGGGTTGCTGGGCCTGGGGCCAAACCTGGGGCCTGGAGCTCAGGGCAGCCAGCTCTTCCTTGGGAAAACCCTCCAACAGAGCCCAGTGGCAGCCATGACTCAGCAGCAGCAGACCCAGCTGGGATTAAGCATGCTGCACCCTAGCATGAGCCAAGATCCCCCTCAGCTTACCCAGGGCCCTCCCCCTTTTGACACCGATAACAGGGGTGTCCAGGGAATGGGTCCATTTGGGGGCCAGGGCTCCTTTCTGCCAAGCCATGACCGGCTGCCCACCGACCTCGACATTGACATGTTCACAGAGAGCCTTGACTGCGATGTGGATTACATCATCAACAGCGACCTCATGGATGGAGAGGGCATCGACTTCAACTTCGACCCCATACCAACTCCAGGGCAGACATACTCAGGCCCGGCCACGACACAGGGCTCCTCCCACAACTGGGTGCCCAGCTAAGTTTCCAGTGGCACTTGCAGCTGATGCAGGTATAAAAATGAACAGTATTAGATGCAGTACATTTGGGTATTGTATAGCTGTTGAGATTCTTCCTATGCTTGTGGTAGCTTCCAGTGATGGCCAGCAGTGAGACGCCCATACTTATGTGCTGGTCATAACACTCGTGCATTTACACATTTACTCAATGCCAAAATGCAAAGACTCTGTTGTTCAAAATACAGGTACTTCGCATGTAAAAGATTTACATTCTGTAGGTAACCAGATTTACCTAAACAGTGTGTTTTTGTTGATTTTCTGTGTGTTATTGTCATTATTAAAATCCTGTTAAAATAAATAGCACAATAGTACTATAACGATACAATGTACTTAAATTCAAAGAAGCCTAGCAAAAAACTAGCCTGAGGTGGTAATTATGCCTGAGTATGCAATTATGTATTATTAAGTTATTAATAATTCTCTCAAAATCATTTTGTAGAGGCACTCCGTATATGCGGCACTTTCATATAATTTTATGTTAAGAAAAGTTAAAGAAAGCAAACTGCATTGTGCAAATCACATAACGTTGGAGTATGGGCACAGGGCAGTACGAGAATGGTGAGGATGCTGACTGCTTCCTTGTCTTTACACACTAACTAGTCCCTGCAGTACAAGATTAAAATTTGGAGAATTTGTGACACGACCCTTGGAACATTTGTATGCATAATTAAAATTTTATTCAGATCCTTGTTGGTTGGGCAGTGCCTGTATGTTAAACAGAACAGATTTAACGACGATGCACCACATGGTTCTATTATGATAGTTGACTAAACAATCTGGTTTCAAAGACATTGGCAGAGCAGCACACAGAGGATTTTCCTGTCCACTCCCATGTCACTGAACCATTAAGCAACAGCTTGCACCTACCCATGTACTTTAGTTATTCCCTTCACTATTACTATTGCTTGCAAGGAATTATTTTCCTTGTCTTCCTCTACTTTTTCCTGTAATTCATGCCTTTTGCCTTTTCTCTGATGGCCATCTTGTTCTATTCCATATCGTCTGAGTTCTTTTGAACACAAGCAGAAAATAAAATATTTTTATTTACAACTGTTCGGAAGTACCGTCTCTGAAGAGGGTATCAAACTGCTCTGTCATTTGATCCTGCCTGCCTCTTACTCAAATTTCCTCTGCTGATCTCTTTTTTTCTGTCTCTGTTACTTTGTTTATGCCCTTTGCAGGATGGAGCTCCTCGTGAAAAGTGACCTGGCCCTATGATGGAAGAGGCGGCTGGGCGCTAAAATGGATTCATCTGTCCACTCCTCCCACCTACCCCCGTTACTGCCATCGTACCTCTGACTCAAGCTCTACCGTTTTTACAAGGCTGAAAGCAAGACACAGTACTTGGACTCGGCCAATTCCTTTAACGATAATATTTTGTATAGTTTTGTCCCCTTATGTTTCATTACTATTATTAGCAGGATTAAATCAGACCTCACCTCATGTCATGTGCCAATTGGAATATGTTACTCCCAGGAAAGGGAGGACTTTGAAGACCTAAGCAGGAATACTTTTTTTTTTTCTCATGAATCATTTTAATGGATTGCTTTTTCCCCTTACCTGTGTTATTTTGAAGTGTGGGGTGTTTTTCTTTTCCAGTTTACTGAGATGATTAAGGGTAAGAGAAGGAAAAAACATGGTGTAACATTGGAGCACATGCAACAGTGGTGCTTTTATTATTTTATTGTTGTAGTGGTGATAGGAATATGGATCATGACATACTTGACCTGCCTTTCACTCTTATTCTGATGGAAAAACAAACAGTACAGCGAAAATCAACAAACGAATGAGAACAAAACATACGGCCAGTAACTTCTCCAAAAAGTAAGACTGCCCCTGTTAGCAGTTCCAGGACACTTTCAATTTTTGCGGTTTTGGAGTCCCCAGTCCGGGATGCAGCGTGGGGAGGCTCAGAGGTTCCAGGCAGTTGTGTGTCGGCCTTCACACCAGAGCCCGGTGCCCTGCGGTAGCAGCAATGAGGAAGAAGACACCTGGAAATGGTGTCTGCTAGGAGCTTGGGGAGCAGATATTGACTGGAAGAGTTCAGCATGGGTTGGGATTTCAATACTTTTGTGGGTACAGGAAGTTTAAAAAAAAAAAATCTTTGATTTCAAAGGGGTTTGGGGTGGGGAGGGGAAAGATGGACAGTTTAGCAATATTTTGCAGTTTTATGACAGCTTGGCTGACTAATTTGGGTTTCCACACTTGTGTCGGCTATGGCGGCCAGCTCTACCATGCCAGACTTTGCAGGTGTGCGTGTTTGTGGCATGATGATGTGTTTAGGTGGTTTCTTCTGAGTTCTGGTGCACAGTTAACAGTTTACTGAGATGAAGAAAAATGTGACTTGCAGAACTGTTATGAAGAGGCGTGCTGGGACAGTATTTGATTTGTCAGAGTCAGCCAGCCGGTGATTGGCTGGCTTTGACGCCCCAGTCTGTGACACAGTATGCCACGCCTCCCTCGGGAAAGAAACCTTTAGATGTTTGCATGGGCTTTAAGCACAGGTGAGGATGTGTTTATGAACATCTGCTAGAAGAAGAAGCTTCTAGAACTGAACTCCAGTAATCTATTCAAAATAGAAATGAAAGAACCAGACATTTCAACAAATTAAAAAAATACTTTGTGATATTCAATCCCTAAATGTTAAAACTAAACAAAAAGGTACCATTTTATGCTTGAAGCTTTTTATATATTTTTTAAAAGTGGGTAGTTCCTGAGTTTTCCACTCCTCTTAAAATGGGGGACTAATATGAAAATATTTTCTATCACTGATTAGTTTTTTCGTATACTAACCTTTTGTAAGAAATTAACGGTGTAAAAGAACATAAAATATATTTGATTATAGTTTTAATATACAACGCAGATGACACATTAGTTGAGTATCATTAACATATAAATGTATTACTAAGCAAGACAAACATTTTAAATGTTTTTAATTAGAAGAAAGAATTTGAGATCATTTTAACGGTCATTTTCTATATATTCTTTTATTTTTGTAAAAGATGAAATGCATGTAGATTTTCTATGTAACCAAAGGAACACTAAGAACTATCATACTCATTTTGTCAGGGAGGAAAAGTATTTCAGTGCAGATAAGCTTCTCAAAAGGAATTTGTTTAGAAACTGTCACCTATAAGCAAAACAAAGAAGCAGAGGAAGCAGGCAGAAGTGATCAGCATTAAAAGGGTCAGGATATCTTACTTTTTTTTTGCCTTCCCTCGTGTAACTCTGAACAAATGTGCCAGGGTTTGTTTACTTATAAGAATTGCCTAGGATGAGCGGGCAACAAAAATACCACCAGTTAACTTGGCGTCAAGTTCAAATTAGCTAAAAGAGAGCGGGGGTAAAAAAATATATAGATTGGGTGTTTTGGCAGATGTGGCCCATGGGCTCAGGAACTACAAAAGAAATACCCACTTCTGGTAACCTCTGGAGTGTTTTCTGCCCAGGGATGGTTCTGACAGGCAAAGCCAATAGAAATATTCACGGCGTACAAGATTATCACATGTGTTTTGATAAAGCAGAGTGACAGGTTCTCACACACCTGTGGAGCACTAGCCTCCCCAGTACACTCTTTGGGTGTAGATTTTGGGACCGTAGATAGTGCGGTATAAACTGTAGTTCTTAAGTTCATTCCCACATTTGTGGATTGGCTGCCATGACGGCAGTGTCTTGGGCACGGCCACTGTGCTTCTTTGTAAACAAATTCCATCTCGTTTTCTCTTCTCTGTGGTATAAAATCTCATTTTGTGCTCCAGAGAAAAACATACTTGTACTCAAAAACACAACCATTAACTCCTCAGGGTGGGTGGAAAAAGTAAAATCGGAATCCAGCTTCAACGTGACGATCAAATCGCATTTGCAAGTTTTCATTTTGTGCTGATTAAAAAGGAAAAATTATCCTGAAGAAAAGACCTAGAAAACACAGTGCTACATTTTCACTCCAACTCTTAGCAAGCTCCCATGATGATCTGAATCCAATTTAAAGCTCATTTTGAGATGTGTGACATGATGATCTGACCTTGTAAAGATATTTTTAATATTTTAATTGCGAGAGGACAGATACCCCTTGAAAGATGTCATCATGGGACACTGGCTATTCAGGTTGACATGTTCACAGTAATTTGTTTTTTAGGATTAAAACTGCTAAATGAGCACTTAGGCATTTGGAAAGATGTGTCTGAGCAAGCCAAAGCTTGTCTCCTTTTGGCTGATTTTTTTGACCTTGTTTTGAGAAAGATTGTACCTGATAATTAGAGGAAGGTTGCTATCTTCTGCTTTGTTGAACACAGCTGTTCTGTATAACGCTAATGCTAATTTACCTTTCGTATAAAACCCAGCTCAAAGATGCGTGGACGATGTCCTCCAGATGTAGCCTGAGGTCTTTATGATTGGAGCTGATTTGTGGTTAAGCTGGAATGGTGTCGTGAGAAGGTGATTAGCGGTTTTTTTTTTCCTTTTTGTCTTCAGAAAGACTAACCTTGACTATGACGCTATAGTTGAATCCAGGAGGCAGCTTAGCTTAGGGAAACCCTGGGCCTTTGCAGTGGTTCCCTTCAGCTGAATGGATTTCAGAGCCTTGAACTGGTTTTATGCAGCATCGCGGGCAGTGTTTTAGCTAGCCAGGTAGCATTGAGGTATTTTACGTTATAGTCAGAGGGACATCATTCATGGTGCATGACCCCCACACATTGTCCGTGAAAGTAAAACTGTGAATGCAAAGTTATTGGTGTTTCTTTTCCAAGTTTTAAAATTTTACCATTTATGGTAAAGGGTAAAAAGTTTATGCAATTGTAACAAAGAAATGTCACTTATAAACTTGAACTTTGTGGAATTTGTAAGAGTGAGGCTTCATGCATTTCAACCAAGCCTCGATGAGTTAACATCCCCGAGTATGTCAGCAGTGATGGGGGGGAGGGGTTACTTTCCGTGTGTTGGATGCAGTGTATATAATGATTCAAATACTGATTCGTGTGCATTGCTTTCCTCAGCAAATGCCAGTTTGCATTTGTCGTGCGCATGTGTGTGTGTGTGTGTGTGTGTGTGTGTGTGTGTGTGTGTGTGTGTGTGTGGCTGGGTCGTGTGAGTAGTGCAGTTTGACAGTGTGATTGGCGTGTGCACGGTCGCAAGAGGAAGAGCCCCCTGCACTGGGCGACACAAAAACCTGCAGGAGTTCCACTGCCTCTCCTGGATGCCAGTGAACTTGTTCCAGTTCTCTCCCTTCCTGATACATTAACAATATATATTTCTTTTTGCTTTGTATTTCCTTTAATATTCTGTTTCTTGTTGAAAAGTAGCTCCTAGAATTTTTTTCTGCTAAGAAAAATCAAAAAGCGTCCCATTTGACATTTTGTTAGTACTTGAGGGAGGCTTTTTGTTTTGTTTTTTGGGTGGGGGGGTGGGAAGAGGGTTTGGAACTGGGGGTTTGACGAGTCGTGAATAGCTGATAAATGTGTAATTGATTACTTCAGTTTTCTTTTTTTTCTTTCCCAATATCACTTTACATATTGTAAAGGTAGCCTGACAACACTTCTGGAGGAAGGAAATAAACTTAATCTGTTTAACACACTGAAGGGATCTGTGCTTCATCATTGTTGTACAAGCACCAAACAGCCTGGGCACAGCAGTGGCCATCGGTTAAAATGCGAGTCGTGTCACTCGCCCCATGAAGCAGAATTAATTGGCAAAGTATTCCGTCCCGCTTGCAGTTGTGCAGCTTCGCTGATCGTCATCTCTGCCTTTGACAGCTATTTGTCCTATATAGCCAAGGCTTCCCCCCCAACTTTGTATGTATGTTACATTACTTTTGAAATTCAAGTTGGAGTAACATAACTGTGTAATTATTACCCACTGAGATACCCAGACCTTGCCCCCACCCTGATATGGGATAAATACTTGAGGCTCCATATGAGTCAACCTGCACTTGCATTCCGCCCCACAGCTGTGCATAAGAGCTTCAGACGCGTTCCTCTGCAAACTCCTTCCTTCCTGCCTGTCCCCATGGAAACAGGCAGGAGATGTTTTCTTTTGGCCTGTGCAAAATCTCTATCTATCATAAAAATAGCCTGCCTCAATGGACCATCAGAGACTACACCCAACTGTGTGCCATGCGGCTCTCTTCTTATCTGTTGGCCGTCGAGGGGAAATTGAGACCATCCCCACTAAAGTATGCAGGAAGAAGGACTCTAGAAAGAGACACCATTGCATGTATCTGTACAGGAGCATTCGGATGGAGCCCAGTGGCTCATTGGATCATCACTGGTGTAATGTGTGTTGACGCACGGAAGCCTGGTTTTAGAACTCACAAAAAAAAAAAAAACTGCATGCAGATATTTAAAGCGTTCCAACAAGCACATTGTTACTGTTGTACGTGTATGCATGTTGCATCTATACTACATATATAGATTCAAAGGTGCTGTGTTAAATAATTCATTGGTAGAGGTTGAAGTTACTAAATCCTTAAAAAAAATAGAAAATCCTGTAGCTCAAATTTCATGTTATTAGTGCAGTGTTTATAATAGCAGGATATGATGTAATTTACATGTATTATGTTAGTCACAAAAACTGCTGTCTCTTTGCCCCCGACTTATTAGATGGAGCAGTAATATGAGCCATACAACACTACGGAGACATTTGGGTGTGGATTCAGTGTATTAAAAGCAAGTCAGTGAGGCTGGCATGTATGGGTCGGGCTTGGACTGCACCAGGACAAGTGGACAGTAACAGCACAGGCACAATGCAGCTATTCAGCAGGCGGCAGAGTGGCGAGGGAAGGAGGGGTTCAGTTTGAGAAGCGAGAGGTCCTGTTGAGATCCAAAAAGAGGGCTGGTTTTATGAACAGAAAATCAACAGCTACTCAATTGCACGATAAAACGGCTACACAGGTATAATCCTGGTAAGACTAGGATTAGCGACTGAGCAAGAGTGTTCTGCGCAACAGAAAGAAATATACAGTTCAACAAAACGGCCCGAGGTTACTCCTTCCACGTAAGCATCGGAACTAAACCAAAACAGCAGTTACTACCATCCAACACTAGAGGGCGAGGTATCATTGGGGGAAAATCTGTTATTCTTCATGCGGTTCCCTACTATTAAAAAGTCGCAAGACATATCCGTCTATTTCATCTCATAGGTAGGAACAATTAAGTTATTGTCTTAAAATACTCAGACATATGACAAATCCATCCATATAATGTTACGACTTATTAACAGAATTATTAAAACAATATAAATGCTTTAAGGATTATTTTCAGTTTTTATTCCTTTTAAAATGTTTGTGACCAAGTCGTATAGAGCGTTTATAATAGTTTAGAATTTCCCCCTTTTATAGAATAAGCAGCCAACACGAAACACATTCGTCCAAAAAAATAAAACGACGCACCTGGAAAAGCAGCTCGCGCTATGCGCGGCGCGTCCTTCTGGCAGATGAAGGATCGAGGCTTGGGGTCCAGCAGGGCGATCTCACCCGCCGAAAAAAGGGGCCTAATTACCCCAGCAGCTGTCCTTGTTTTCTACCCAAGTCATTTGATAGCGTTACACCCTTTCGCTGGATTACAACCACATTCCTTGGCACATATTTAATTTCACGGACTATGCTGCTGAAATAATTGATTCTTCTACACCTTTCTTCGGCAGATCAGTATTATTACTAACTATCGTGGGTTATATGTACCCATGCATTTGTCAACTGCTTATCCTGTGTAGGATTGCAGAGGGGGGCGGATGCTGGAATCTATCCCAGGCAGCAGTGCACGCTGGCCAGGATGATAGGCCAAATGCATTCACATTTGGCAATTTATAGACGCCAAATCGATTAATTGCAGGTTTTTGGACTGTGGGAGGAAACTGTGGAGTCAGTTTAACCCCCAACCCTTAGGTGTAAGGTAACAGTACTACCCACTGGCACGCTGCATAAGAACTCATCAATAATTAGTTATAATGACCGCCTTTACCCGCTTGTACTTGCATGTATTGAAAATGAAACTTGATCCCCAGTGTGATGGAAATGTCACTCATTAAGGTCAGAACCACAAAAGACGACACACGCAGATATTGACACAACATTTTTATCTTAGAAAAAATAGGTCTTTCACGTTTTCCAAAAAATTTTGGCCTTTTTTTTCCTAGTTTAATACTTTTTTCCTTCTTTATTCTCAGTACATTTACGCAGTAAATACCGGACTCATCCGTCTTCTCCAGCTCTGACGGCCCCCAGTGGGTGTGGCACTGTTTCTTGTTCACTGTGCTCAGAGGGTGGGGGACACTGTGGGTGGGGGAATGGGGGCAAGCACCAAGCCAGGGCTCCTTCATCACCTGCTGGGAATCAGTTCCTGTAACCAGGTCCGCCGGCGATTTGTGATTATGTCATAAGAAGGAGCCAACTGGCAGTCAGCAAGTGACACCTGGAGTCCCACACACAGCCTGGCCATACAGGTGACCAGTCCATTCCTGTCACTGGGTGGCGAGGGGGGGGGGGGGGGGGGGGGGGGGGGGGTTATGAAGTCCCGGGAGGGCAGATGGGTTGCCAGTTACCCCAATGTTTTCCAAGTCCTGCTGTCAAAGGACCAACACAAACAGTCTGTTGTTGCATGACACCCCAGACCAGCGCAGGATAATGCAGATGAAAAGATCGGACCAGTTCAACATGTTATAAAGTTTCTCCAATTTGATGCAAACCATTATGTGCCCTCACAATGGTGCAATTCAGGGACAAGTGAATCCTCAGGGATTGACCAAGGACAGACCACAGCAATATACACAATGCTGCGGGTGATATGTCGATCCAACCCCCACCACTAGAAGCGGAGTTCAGGCGGCAGCACAATGAGTGCGAAATTAGCAGCAACACCACCCCCCCCCACTCACAAACTACAATAACAAAGACAAAAATGGAACACACACAGACTTCTTAAAAAGTTTTAAAAGAATGATTGACTCTAGATAAGTTGCTCTGAAAAGCAAAATGTACCTTGATGAGACGCGTTTGCCCAGCGACTGCCAGCAACACCTGGTGCCGCATTAAAGCCGCCGGCAGCACAAGGCAGAAACTTTGCGCCAGCATGTGGCTGGGTGGGGGGGGGGGACGACATTTTTGCAGCCTTATGTTCCTGGCCTGGCCTCGGACGTAGGCTTTTGTGCCCAGTGGAAGACCTCCAGGATCACCAATGTTAGGAAACTCCTTTGTGCAACAGAGAGGCAAGGAGCAAAAACAGCTATACCAACAGGAAGTTCACTGATGGCCATTTTCTTCCTTGTAATCCTCACTCACCCCTGCAAAGCAGAAGCCGCACACCCCTAACAGATGCGGTCATAATCTCCTCCACACGAGTCAGAACCAACAGCACAGGTGCACATGTCCGTGTACTGAATATATCTGCACCTTGCTCCCCGTATCCAGTCCCCCCCCCCCCCCCCACTCATGAGTAAAAGATTCTGTCACCTGCTACAGGTGAACTGCAGGTGGCGCACAACACCTGCTAGAATGTGGCGAGGCTGTGGAATGGCTCAAATTTCAACTATCACACAACGTCCTTATTCCATAAATATATAGATATACATTAAAACGCTGTTAAAAGAACTTGCCTCTGTGCCATTTTCTGTAGTGTTTCTGAGTTTTAAACCATTCCTCCTCTCCTGTTCAAAACAAACCTGTCCAGTTTGCTCAAAAAGATGTCACAAACAGCTTAAAAAATAATAAAAGAAAATCCATTTCAACCCACGAAATCATTATAAACAAAGGAAACGTTTTCTGTTGGGTGACCACTTCAACGCCCCCCCCCTCCCACAGCTGCTGCAAAAACAGACAGGAACATGGCAGCTATAGTAACACAGACAAACACCAACAAGATAATTGCACGTAAACCGTCAAACAGTGGCGGTGGAGGATTAAAAATGAAAGTGCCAAAAAGGAGGAGGTGAACTGCCAAGAAGAACAGAACGACAGAATAAAGGAAGGAGTGAGACTGTAGTGTTTTAGCGGTTTGGCTTCGGACGCAAACTCACACGGAGGCACACAAGTCAGTTCAAAGCTCGGATCGGCCAGAGAGACGCTAAGAGACCCGAGCAGAGTGAGCTGCAGTGAGTCTGCCGATTACGTGCCCCACCCCCCAAATTCCTCTCACGTACAATCAGTCCCCTCCACACCCACCCTTGACTCCCTCCCCTTCACAGCTAACTTACAACGTGTCTCCCCGTTCGCCCATAACCCCTTCCTTGCCACGCCCTCCTAACCAATCATGTGCTGAGTGATAGCTCTCAGGGCGTATAGGAGCTCAGCTTGCAGCCTTGCCTCCATGATCAGGAGGTTGATATGTATCTAGAAGAGAAGGGGGGAGGGGGGGAGATAGACACTCATTATCGTTTAGTTCTCCAATTCCTATTTATGTCCTTCACATTGATTATGTTAGGGTTAATTTCTGAGTAAATCCACACGTCTGTGTCCATCTGCAAAAACAGTAGCGTGCCGAGACAGCAGAGGGCGCCAGAGAGGAAAACTGGATGGCCTACCTTATCGGAGGCAGTGAGCAGGGCGCTGGGCAGGGGGCTCCTGGTGATGTCAGGGAAGCAGGCCACGGCTTTGATGTACAGCTTCAGCTCCCTCTCCAGCAGCTGATTCACCTCGCCGTAGTCATAGTCATCGTACCTGTGGGACACACACACACACACACACACACACACACACACACACACAGACACACACACACAGACACATAGACGCGCATTTAGGTGGCAGGATTAAAATTCAAACCGCACACAGATCCAGCACATGCAGTTCACACCCTCCTAGGTAACTGTGGTGTTTTGGTTTTTCCCTTTAAAAAAACCCACATAATTTATCCTACAGCCTTTTACTTAAACAAGGCCTCCTAAAGCAGCACAGGAATGATCCTTACATGAGGGAGGACATTATGGAGGCATCCAGGTCCCGAGAGGAACACAAGCTAAACCTCAGTGTATCACTCTCAGATGACCCCTCTACTGGTGGACCTACGAGTACTGGCTGTGGGCAATGGGGGATTTCCCAGTTCGGATAGGCGATGTCACATGGAACAGTTATGGGCGGCAGCTGGGAATGGCCCTAAGGGCAACATATACCAATATCCGAAAAAAGGACGTTGCGGTTGTGCTGCGGTCACCGGAAAAAAAACTTTCCTTCAGCCTAGAAATAAAGACGAGTTCTTTGGGTTCCTTTGGCCAAAGTGCCTGTCACCCAGACCAGGGAAGGAGTGGAATACAGAAATAAGTCTTCCTGTCATTCCACTGTTGTGCGTTGGGAAACGCCTTTCAGAAAGGCACAGGGCTAAAGGCACATGGATGTAGCATATTAGCGGCACGGCGCGCGAACAACACAGCATGTGTTGCAGGGATGGAGAGAACTGCATGTAGCACGTTAGCAGAATTAGCACAGCACGTAGCACGTATTAGCGGGGTGCGGGTCACGGGGCACGGCTGCCTCTCACCGGATGCCGAACATGCAGTGGATGTAGTTCCAGACGGCGCGGCGCAGATCGGGCCCGCGGGGGAACGGCAAGGCCGCCACGCAGCGGAAACGCTCGTCCAGGAGGTGGCCGATGTCCGAGTACAGCCGGTTCACAAGCGAGAAGCCGTGGTCCTCCCATGAGTAGTCCTGCACCCATAAAACAAGGCATGAGTGAGGCTGCCAGAGGCATGCCGGCTCCGTGGGCTGATGCAGGGGTGGAGAGGGATGCATTGCAGGGTCGGATTGCCGGTCCATTTCAAAAGTACACGCCCGTGTTATGTTCCTGTGTTATGTTCCTGCTGCAATTAACAAGAATGCAGGCAGAGCCTAATCACCACAAACCACCAGCCGCTGTTGCTACACCTCACCTGCACCCTGAAGACCTGGAAGTGATCCTCGTCACGGCGGGCGAACTCCTGGTAGCCGAACTCGGGGTCTGTGACGAAGAGGGAGGGTTCTGTACAGGTCACCTCCTCCTCTTCCTCCGCATCTGAGGCATAGAGGCACCATGATGTACAGGCGCCAGAAGGCCAGACGTGGGGAGAGCAGGGTGGCGCTCTTACCCGCATACGGGAGTGCTTGGGAGCCCGGCCTGTCCGTCTCCTCCTGCGCTCGCTGGATCTTTTCCCTGAGACAAGCCACCTCGCAGCTGGAGTCCAGGGACTGCAGAGAGGCAGCCAGCCGACAGAGACAAGCCCATTAGAGCCACAGCTTAAGCGTCTGTGTTAGTAGCAGCTAATAACTAAGGGAGACTGATTCTTATATACAGAAAATCAGTATTTATTTCAGTTCATTCCTGAAGTGGACGAGTTCAACATCTCTGCGCCTAAACAACTAATTTGTTACACTTATTGACGTAAAACCAAGAACCAAGATCGAGCAGATATACCTTTTCAGGCATGATTAATGGTAATAAATACGATTTATTATTAAAACAGCATTAAGTTTCAAAATGACTATTGTTACTAGTGATGCATATATTTATACATACACATAAATACACCAGACTGAATGCAGACCGTGTCAAAGATTCTACTTCACTCATCAGCAGAATGAAAATCCTGCAGATTCACTCAGCTGTAGAATCAAAATCTGATAACTTGCAGTGTCCTGCCCCCCGATCCCTGCCACCCCGACAAGAGGGCTGTGTGTTTCGCTAATAACATTTTCCTCTAATCTGACAGCTTAATGGCACAATTGCACAGTAGCAGCAGCCTCAGAACTGGGAAAAAAAATGACCGACAAATACCAGAGGTTCTGGAAGGATTATGTACAAAGAGACTTGCTTTGTCTCATAAGGTGATACAACGTTCCTGGTTTCATGCCAACAGCAAATACTCTAAAATTCAAATCAGCTTTTGGTTGAGTGGAGGGAGAGTGAGGGCAAAAAATTCTCACTGTATTTTGACGCTGATTTTCAGCCAGTGCATACCAAAGATAATGCTGAGCGTAAGACTGCACAGCGGGCACACTGCAGCCCCTTACCCGCCGTCGTGGTGCCCTCTCTAGGGGTGTGGCGTTGCCATTGGCCGCGTCGCAGGTACAGTAACCAGGAGGTGTGCCATGGGGCACCCTGGGCGCTGGAGAGGGGTCTGGGTCCGTCCCTGAACCGAAGACGAAACTGCAGAGGGCGTGGCAGTGTGCCAGCAGAACCACAGCCTGCACCAGCTCAGCCAGTGACCAGCACTGCTCTCCGGGCTTCAGCAGGGCCTGCAGGGGGCGCCAAAGAGCCCAGTCATTAAAGATCTCAAAGCAGCATACACCCCCAGAAATAAACATCCATCTATAAATACCCCATCCATCCTTTTTCGGGGACTGCATATTAGGAGAACTATGGCTTGGGGACTATTACAGGAGGCACAGGCATCCGGTGTGTATACGAGCTGGCTGTGAATAGAGGTCCCTGGGCGTGATCTGGGGGGGGTACCTGGATGTGGGCGCGGCCGCTAAGCCAAGGCCGGTGGGCCAGCACTTTGTTGATGTGGTCCAGATGTCGCAGCCGGGGAGGGGCGGCTTCCAGGCCCTGAAGCCACACGGGGTCCCCCCCCACGCGAAGAAACTGGGCCGAGTGCAGGGACACCAGGTAGCTACAGCGGTGCCGTGCTGCCGCCTTTGGGGGGGGGGCAGAGAGCAGGATGGAGACATAGAGCAACACGGTGCCTGTTTAGGTGCGGGGTGTAACGTGTGTGCTTGTTTAGCACATGTGCACAAGTCTCGAGTGTGATACGCACCATGATGGCGATATAGTGGCGGTACGGCAGCGGCAGCGGTCCATCCATGTGCAGGATGTAGTGCTGACTGTGGAGGAAACTTTCCAAGTACTGTGGGTGGACGGCCATCTGCTGCGACACCGTGTCCAGGCGCCCCCTACTGACCAGTGCTTTCATGCACAGCAGCGACGCACGCTCCTTTTCAGAGCTCACCTTCATCACCTGCGGAATCAGGGAAAGAAGAGCCGAGCAGGTCAACGCAACTCTGCAGCTCAGAGCCACGCAGGAACAGTCTTACTGCTTGGGCCTTTGCTTGTGTCTCTTTAGCATAAATTGACAACTACCATGTTAGCCTCAATTTTCAGCCACATCTTGGTGCTCCTGACCTGATCCCACCTAGCGGACCTACAGCTGAGGGAGCTCAAGAAATGTGGTGGGTGTAGCCATGCGGTGCACTTTTGCTAGGAGAGATTTGACCAACCAATCAAGAGCACAAATTGATAGGTTCATACTTATACAAACACATTATTCCTGACATGCCGTTTCGCAGAAGACACGTGCAACACTACACACTGTCATCCTGAGGTCAACGGGGAGCTGCAGCCCGCTGATCAACCAGCCTATAGCAACTGGCTAAAGCTGGGCACCTTCCCATCACCTTCTCCTTGAATTCCTTCCTGGAGCAGAGGAATAACGATCAAAGAGAGGAGCAAGTGGAAAAGGAGAGGGGTTGGAGAAATAGGATATAAGAGATGAGGCAAGATAGCCATGAGGGATCGAGGTGGAGGATAAGGGGACAAAAACAACTGATACCACAGATGGGTGAAAAGAGCAGGAGCAGAGGAACAGGAAAGAGAAGGAGATGGAACCCCGTGTATGATCCAGAAGATTGGGGCCAACCAGGTCCTTCTATAACAAGTTCTAGGAAACCCAAATTAAGCATGGAATGGTATTGATTCAGTTTTGGGGGGGGGGCAAATGACTAAGGCTCTAACTAACGCTAACACTTAGGGGGTGTCGGATGTGTGGAGCTGCTATTGGATCGCCAAGGTTGTAACTCTATCACATGTTGAAATCCCTTCCTCCCGTAGGGCCATCCAACACACTAATCCCAAACAACACTTTACTATTACCCTGACCACCCCCCCCCCATGTAAACAAATGGAATATCACCAAATGTAGACATGTAGTTCCCCTTTTAGACCACTGGGGGGTGCCCTCAGTAGTAATTTAAGACAACTAGGGCAGTCGTGCAGACACGAGGCATGGCGTTGCTCTGCAACAAACTGACACACTTAGGACTGAAGCCTGTATCCTGAGCCAGCCCCAGACCTTAGCAAAGACTGCATCTCAAAGCTAACATTTCCCTACTAATCAAAGTCCTTAATCCGTTTCAAGTGATATGAACTCTACAGCCTCACCATACCTTGTTGCAGCTAAACATAACAGACAAGCAACAAATCTGAGCAAAGACTCTGCACCTCCTCTAGGCCACAGATATGACATCATAGC